ACACAGTAATTATATTTATAAAAAAAATATGTATGACTGATCCTTGTGTATATGTAAGCCTTGAAATATGGTTAAATATACCTTAAAAATTATATTAAAAATAAAAATTTTCATTATTTTTTGATAATAGAAAAAACATTTAACTAAATATATTTAACATAATATTGATTTATTTTCTTAGTATTTCTCTTCTTAATATTCTAGTCTTCTTTTTAGGGTTTATACATATGTATAGTTTAAATTGAAAACAATATTTTTTTAACGCACGTGGTCTAAAATAGATCAATAAATCTAAAAATATTTTGTTGAAAAAAGATATCATTTCTCAGTATAAACAAATGGCATTAGGATATTTTTAGTTAAATCTAATGAAATATATTACGTTCTCATACAAGATACATAATTTTGTATAGTATTGTTGTGTAATATTGCAATTAATAAATGAGCAAAACTTTGAAACCCCTTTATTCAAATATATTATTTATTTAATACGATTTTGAGTGAAAAAAAAAATTTAAAGGACTTTATTAGTTTATTTATTAACTTGAGTTATTTAAACAACATTTATTGTGTAATAAATATAATAAAATGAAACTATCGATACCTATATAGAGATTCTTTCAATATCTAATAGCAAAATATAATGCAAAATTGTATTAAATAATTAAAAGTTAATTCAAAAAATATAAATTGTTGTAATTTTAAAATTATTTATGTTAATAATACTTATAGGAGAGTTTTAAAATATTTTTTTAACACTACGAACTTTTGACGTCTTTTGTTAACACTACTTATTGGATAATATATATAATATTTAGGATATTGTAACATAAAGCTACGATTCACTACTTAGTTATCTTTATCATAACTATATAATATATAGAGTCACGTATTTCTTATTTTTTTATTTTTATATAAGATATACATCTGAATTTTTATTTAAAAAAAAATTATTTATATAGGCTATAATTATGAATTATATGATTATTAAATTATTATAAACCTTTAGATTCAAAGGTAAATGATTATTAATATAATTTGTTATTATTGAGATCTAATAATATTATTCAATAAGCTTGTTTTTTACTATTTTTATTTGATTATAGATTTAAAATTCTTGCAAGTTTTTTATAGGAATAATAAAGTGACACATAACCCAATTTGACTAAATCCAGTCTAATAAAAAAAAAAAAAAAAAATGCTTATTTTCACAAATTTACTTTAATGCTCTCTTCATTGTATGTTGACAGGATTTAAGTGCAACGTTAGTGAACATGTGTGACATCCCATTTTAGAAATTCTCATTTACCGTTTATTATGAATCGAAGCCAAGACGGCGATAATAGAAAAATGTGTATAAATTTAGTTTGACTGTGTTGTTGAATATAGTTAAATATTGATACTAATTGATTTTCTTAGCGACAGTTACTATAATTGATTCTGTATTCAGGGATGAATATAGTGATGCGGGGAGGTTATGAGGGTTGAAATAAACTTCGTTGGATATTTTTAAAAGATTTTTTCTTATATTTATTAGTTTATTTAAAAATAGGTATGATGCTTAATATATCTAGTAGTCTATTGCAACGTATTTCAAATTTTTATACATGGAAAGAACATAGTTGATAAGTGAAGGAAAAGTCTCGCTATATAAAAACAATTGTAATTATTATGAATATTAATGCGTTGTCCAGACAAGTTTTTCAGTTTCTAAACTTATTTATGTTGAGATATCTGTGCGAAAAATACATTTTTCAATTTATTATATACAAAAAATGAAATACATAAAAATTAATTGATTGTAGAACATAACATATAAAACACCTATTAAATTATTTAAATCATAATAATAAAAATAATATCTGCACCTATTTAATTTTACTTTTATACAAAAATGTTTAAATTTACGCATGTATTTTTTATTAAGCAAAAAAAAGTTATGAGACCAAGTAGATGACATGTAAATAATTTCAAAATATGTATGTTAAACTCTAATGATAAAAAAAGTTAAGAACCGCTGATTTAACAGTAGGTACTAGCAGCACTTTATATTATGTTAATAGTTTTTCACTTTTTAAACTGCGAGTATTTTATTTATTTTTATTTACATGGCCGAATATAGATGTAGGTTATGTGACTTTAGACCCGCATTCTTAGATACAGGCTCATTTTTAATATTTAATTTTCTAAAATTAGTTCTATAGTACCTATGCATAACGCATTTACGTAGCACGTATTCTTGTATTAGTTTTGCTGCGAGACTGTATAAGGTTTATCGTACTCTTAGACTCTTTATAAGGAGCACATAAGAAAGAAAAAACAAGTTATGATTTTGAAAATTAATACACATATTATACTCTGGATTAGTTTGATTTAAGGAAAAATATTATAATGTGTCACACTTAAAAAATATAACTATTTATTATTTTATATAACAATAATAAAAAAACTTATTTAAAAAATTGAAGATAGCAAAATAATGATCAATGTGAAAGTATAGTAATAATAATAAAGTATTTGAACGAACTCGCACTACCAAAATTAAACAAATATATAGGAAATAGGTATAATTCAAAGAATTTTTGTCTATTTTATACAAAAAAAATGAGTTGGTTGTAGGTTATCATCTTGCCATATAATACCTAAGTGCTAATCATTGAGATGTCCAGTAAATCATTGTACGTATTAAATCAATTTTTCACTTTATTTTTGGGAAAAGTAAGAAATAGGTTAGCGTTCTGCTGTACACAAGAAATTGAGTAAAGCTTGTGATTGAATAGGCTACTATAATGTATGTGTTAAATTTAAACTAAATGATAAAACACTGTATACAATAAATGATTTTGATAATATTTGTATGATTTTGGTTAAATTTATTAATATTTGAATTTTAAATGCTTTAAAATAAAATTGTGTATAAGTATTTTGCATTTTTTTTAACGGCTATAGTAAAAATTCATGAGGAATTTGTATTAAATATTCAAGTTTAAAAAAATAATATTTATCGATTTTTATGAAAAAAATAAAAATTTTATTTTATCAAGATTATATAGTGTTAATTAAATTAAGAAAATAAGATTCACATATTTAAATAAATAAATTAAGCTCTTAGTAATACTAATCTACGTAGTATTAATTTAAATTTTTAAATCATATTTATTATTTGGTCGATGCTTTTAATAATTATAAATAATGATGATACTCGTATTTTTTCACAAAAATTTTGAAATTGTTTACATAATAATATATTTAACTATAATTTTTTATTGTAATTAATACTTTCCTAATTCTGATATTTTAGATACAATGAGTAGACAAGTGATTACATTTTAATTTGGGTCCCATAAAATTTAATACATTGTTTGACGAAAACTTAAATCCTCGGTATACGATATTATATTGGATATTTTAAAGTTTAATCTATTAATCTAAAACCTTTATAATTATCTATATATTTTATAAGTATGTACCTATATAATATTTAATAATAGCAAGTAAATAAAAATAAATTGTCTTGGGTTAGTAATCTTCTCTATGACATCAAAAATATTGATAATTTAGGAGAATCTTTAAAAATAAATATTGGAAAATTATATAGATCTTAAGTGTTGTACAAACTCTTTTTTTTTTAACAACTCATAAAATACAAATGACAATATTTCAATACATGAAATATAAGTTATAATGATTATACAATGAACTGAGTTTTTTTTTTGTATTCGTGTTATCACCTTGTGGAACTATAAAATACCTAAATTTTAACTACAATATATTTTTTGTCGGGAAAGTAAATCTAGTTAGTACTTTTCTTAATAATTAGAGGGAGAGACAATATTGAAAACACTAGTTTTTATACAAAATAGACTTTTGACAAAAATTGATTATTTAATTTTGTTATAATTCAAAAACAAATAACATAATACTTGATATTTTCATGTTAACATTTTCTACATAATATAGTATAATTTAAAAAATACTTTGACTCTTTAAATACTCTTTGAATACTTTTTTTAAATTTTTTTTCAATGAGCCTCGATAATATTTGAAAATTTATTCATTTAAATAAGTAAACAATTTTTGAATATTATATCATTCAAGTACTACATTTTGAGAGAAGCGATTATGAATGTATTGATTTTATAGTGATATGTGTTTTTTTTTGTTTTGGCTATACCTTTCTGGTATTAGAAATACTTTGTGGGTACTTGAAATTTTTAACAGATACTATTATTTTTTTAAGTTAAATACATTTTTACATTATTAAGAATAAATATGAATTTTTAATTAAACTAAATTTGCATTGTATGGGTTTGTATCATTAATATCCTTATATCTTTGAAAGAACCAAAATACCATATTGTTTTTTTCCGATATAGAAGAATTAACACACGTAACTTTTTTTAATTTGTAGGTATTTATAACCAGTTAATCCAGTTTATCTTGTAAATTGTAAATTGTTAAGATTTTTTTTTTTAAAAAAAAACAATAGTTTGAAAACTATAATTGAAATACGTAAATCATATATCATTTTTAGACAACTGTTTTAAGTACATATATAATTTTTTTCACAGTTTATGAATAAGCATGTGCATTTTTTCAACTGCTTAGTTTTATTGTTTAATAATTAGGAACTTATTTATAAATTGTATCATTTGTATCTTTTTTTATCAAAAATACATTATATATATATAATATATTTTTGATAAGTATTAGAATATCTTAAGTAAAATACATTTTTGTTGATTTACACTGCCCTTCATTGGCTCCATTACGTACAAAATGTTATCCATATTTATGGTTTTTTGTGCTGTTTTGTTAATATAAAATTTTTATTTTTATTTTTAGATTTATTCTAATATTTGAAAATAATACGTTTAAAGTTTAAACCTATAATTATAATCTAATATGATATAATATAATAAATGCGATATTAACATTTTGTGAATGTCCCTAATTATTTAAAAATTGATTCTTAATTTTTATAATTTTTTATGTTACAGTTGGATCTCAATGTGGTCGGTTTTCGATTTTTTGATGATTTTGTGCATTTGCATTGCACAGCTATCAGCGAAAGGTACAGTTATGAACACACAGTGTATTACTATTGATAACTGCTGTGTTCGCAACATGACCAACTTTTGGAAACATAAAACTGAGTTGCATTGTTCGAGGATTCAACATATACCGGTTGTTGATGAGATAATACACGTGCTGTGAGTAACATTTAGATCAATTTTAAAGGTTTATTTTAATTGGAAATGAGACATTTTGGCGGAGACGTTTCGGCACGGACAATTTGATGTTGCCGTTTAGACGTGAAGATACTTTGGCGCGAAGTTATTTCGGCCCGGAGTTTTTTGCTTTTTAAACACAAAATACGGATAAGAATGGATTTATATTATATTGTAGTCTAATTTATTAGTATTGCTTAATTATATAATTATTTACAATAAATTGTTAAATCATTTAAAAATAGCTATATTATGCTACAAAATAATATTTGACTAAATTATATACGTATAAAATAAAATAAAATAAAAATAAATTTAAAAAATGATAAATTATTGTATAGGTAGTTTTATATTAATTAAATGTTATTTATGATTTTCTTTTAATAATTAATTGAGTTTTGATAATTATATTAACTCACAATTATATACAATTAATATTTAATTTCTGTGTATTTATAACGAAATAATACCTTGTCTATTGTGAAAATTTATCGGATTGAACATTAACCAACTGTTTTATCTCTTATTAAATTATATTAATTGTTTTACTTGGAGTATTTGATATTTTTTTTGATAATGGTAATGTATAAGAACATAGAATATCCGATAACTAAATAATAAGCCTCGCCGAAATGGTCGCGTCGATTTGTCTCAGATCCATTTTTATCATCTTAACATGTTTTATACTTACATTTTTTTATAGCATAAATAAAAATTATTAATATTTTTAGATGTATTCTAAATAATTTATAAGGAAGTCAAATTTTTATTATTATATTTTGAAATACAATAAAATAATCATCAAAATAGTCTTCTTACTCACCCACCTATTAGTAGGACAATTAATGTAAATAATAAATAAATAACATAATTTTTTTTTTTTAACCTTTTGGTAACAATTAGAATACGATATTCTCTTATATAAGTATAAGTATTTATTAAAATTATTAACAGCTATAATTTTCATTTAGAAGTTAAAATTTAAATAGAATAATTGAGTGTGTTGACTTCAAAGTGAATGTGTTTGTAAATTAAATTATTTTCTGTGTAAATAGCACTCAATTTTTTTTAATAACTAATATGATAAAATTTAAAAGCTCATATTTAAACAAAAATGTTTTCATATTTATAAATTAATAAAGAAACTGCATATATGATGAGAATCATTCACTCATAAATAACTTTATTAACTAATATTATACCAAGAATAATTAAACGTTGCAGGAAGAATACGTCAGACGTTATTGAATATATTGAATAACTGTTATTTATAGCATTAATCTATGTATACATAGGTATAAATAAATGGGGTGAATAAGAGCAGTTTTTTTGTTATTGGACAACATTTCATAATGCCATAAAAATGAAAACATCCCTTGTAATGACATTTCGATACATTTTTTTATTTTAAGCCATATAACTACACCTCTCATCGATATCTACTTTATTTAAAACAACAATGAGTTTTTAACTACTATAAATTAACTTAAAAATAAATATAATTCTTAAGTATTATCATGGTTTTAAACATTATCTTCAGTTAATAATATTTGTTTAACTTTAGACAATAGTTAAGTTAGAATAATAGTACAATATTTTCACTAACAACCTTAATTAATTATTTGATTTGGGTTAACATTATATAATATAACGATCTTCATCAATACTTAAATTGTTTAAATTAATTCTCAAATCTAGAACTTTCTAAAAATAATAGTATAATTACCATTCAATATTAAAGAATAATAATTGTGATTCAGTAGCATGTATATTTATTTTAATGTAACGGTTCGGGAGAGTAAGTTGAAAAAAACCTAACCTATGTAAGAAAAACAAGTTTCTTTTTAATTATTAATAATGCCTTAAAAACAGTCAGTTATGTAGAAAAATAATAACTTAAGGTAAGATTAAAGTCCTCCTTCAATTCAAAGGCCTTAGTACGCCTATACTTATACTGCTCTATATTAACATGATATTAGCTTCCACGGTTGCTATCTATTGCGTGTGGAACCGGCTACTGAACACTGATTACTTATATAATATTATATAGAAATTAAAAATAGTATTACCATAAATTCAAGTATAGTGTAATATTAAAATATGTCTGTATCATAGTGTACTGTTAAGTTTTAATACTAATTGTACGGATTAAAATTAATGGCGATTAGGTAGTATGTATCTAGTAATTTATATATAATTTAATTGCTTATACAATAAGTACTATGAAAATAAAAAATTCAAACTTATATATAATTAATACTTACTATATTATTAAAAAATCAAATCAAATGTTAGTATATGATTTTAATATAATTATTATTATCATCGCATACAAATGTAACAATAAAAGTTTTTATTCGTTAAATGTTCAACCGTATAATTTGTGAGTTATTATAACATTACAAATCACCATGAATATTATGTTGTATAACGTATCATTGCACTGTATAATGTAATCTATACACAAAACATTTATCAATAAATTAAATAAGCTAACTATTTAAGATATATATATATATATATATATAATTGTAAACTATTAATTATATCGTTGAACATATTATACAATAGAATAAAATATCCAATTATACAGCTGTAATTTTAAGTTTATACTTGCATATACTTACATTAAAATGTAATTATTGAACATTGATAAATAATTTTATAAATAACAATATTTATTAACATTAAAAGTTCGTATAGCAAAAGCAGTACATTATATCATACATATCTCGTGATTGTTTGTACTTAGCGTCTTAGCTACCTAAATATGTAACAATATTGGGTTGCAATAACAATTTAGTAAAAACTTTCTTTGAACTTGAAATGATCCAAGTTATGAAGAGTCAGTAAAACAAACGTTATTAATCTAGTTTAACACCGTTTTATTAAAAGTTTTTATGACATTATACTTATTTTATATTTACCTAATTTTTTAAAAAAAATCTTTAGAATTTATAATATTGACATACCTACATAAAATACGATATAAATTTGATTTTCAATTAATAAAATGGGTATGACACTCGGTGTACCATGAAAGTTTTTGAGTTTTTACTCATTTTCTTATTATGCAGAGACCGAAACAATAAAATGCTCAGGGATTTATATAAACAAGTTATATAATTGCTTTAAGCCTGAATACTTTATGGTGTTATACATACAATAATATGTTTTTCAACAATTATTTATATAACTAATGTCCAATTTTCAATGTTTTGTTTGATATGATTCAGTTCAGCGGAGTGATTTATTATGCCATCATAGTTGACATTTATTTATTATAAGCATTTATATGTCTCTGAACGAAATTATTTTTGTAAGCGATGATAGTGGAGAGGTGATTGTGGTTTTAGCTGCTAGATTAGCGGGCTTATTTTCTATGATATTAGAATGTCCAGAAATTCATTTGTGAAAATTAAATAAAAAGTATTATAATAAGTACTGTATTGGATGACCTATACAATTTCAATATTTCAATTAAATGATAAATCATTATATACAATAAATTCTGAGCAAAGTTGGTCTAACATTTGCTGCTAAATAATTATGTTAATAATATTACAATTTCGACTTTCCAAAAGTATTAACTATAGATTAAACTTTTAAAAAGCAATTTTCATTGAAATTTTGAAATTGATAATCAAAGTATTTTTTTTTTACTTAAATATATGTCTTTAAAACTCAAATCGTTTTGAATCGCTCAGAATTTAAAGTAAAAATGTATTGCAAATATAATTTGGAAGTTAATAAGTTAGTTAAAAAAAAAATTTTTAAATATAAGCCAAAAAATATTTATTTTTTTTTTTTATCTAAATAATACAAAAATACAAAAATTGTATTTTATTGATATAGATAACACATATATTATTAAAACTAGTTAGTATTTAATAAACTTAAAACTTGTAGAGGTTAATGCACGCATACATTATAATTCTATGATATAATATTATTAATATTAATGTATCAAACATAGAGTGATAGAATAAACATTGTTTTGCTTAGTATTGACAAACTTGATTTTTATTTTAGAACTATTGACGATTCAGACGATATTAAAGAGTTAACAGAAAAATCGATTAGCCCATACAATAACCTTACAGATATGTAAGTCAAATAATACTATAATAAATAATAATATATACCTTATGTCTATCATGACTCTTAATTTCTTAAAATGGATAAATCAAATTTTGTTTTATAGAATATTAAGCAACATGAAAAATTTAGAATATTTGGATCCATCAACTTTCAAAAACTTAAATAAATTGCAATCATTGTATGTTTTTCTTATAATATTAACAAATTATACTTAAATATATATTATATTCGAACTAATAGTGATTGATGTTTTTATTACATTTCTAGGTATATATTGCGAGCTAGTGCTTTGAAAGAACTATCTACCGATATATTTCATGGTCTTTCAAAAACTTTTTTAGTACTGTGAGTTTATAAAGTAGATAAATTCAAACAATAGAAAAGATGTAGTAAAAGATCTAGTTATAGTAATAATTTTAATGTATTAGCATATGTATACATTATACATTATATCTCTATTGATATATAATGTATTAGAATTAGACAATTACTAATTATTAATCGTATTAATTTTTTTGTATTGCACCTAACTTTAATAAATTTTAAGTAATTAACAATAATATGATCAAATATTTTTGAATAATAACTTAAATTTTCAATTTTATAAATATTAACATTATTTTATATAAACTTTAAAAGATTTATTTTTATTAAACTTATCATTAATTTTATTAAGTAGAAGAAAAATTAAAAATGATATAAAATTGGGTTTCTTTTGCTACATTTTGAACATAATACGTAAAACCAAAATTATTTGATGTTTTAATTATTCTAAGAAAAAAAATTTAATATTTATGATTTTTCCTCTATAGTCGTATAAGTAAAGCAAATCTTAAGGTCATTCCTGATCTTTCAGACCTTGGAACTCCGACTGCAATGCACATAATGTAATTTAAAATTATAGACATTTTATAAGTTAAATTATAACAATCAACGACATTTTACATTCAATTTATTTTTAGTGAATTTGAAGGGAATCAATTGGACACATTACCAACGAATGGAATTAAAACTCGAGCAGAACAATTGTAAGTACTATTAATTATTAAATAAAGTTTTTTTTTATTTACAGTCAAAATCTAACTTTATATTTTCTAAAGATTTTTATTAATTTTTAAAATGTTATAATAAATTATTCGTGCTCTGATTAATACAAAATTTTGTATTAATTTAATTTTCATCTAATATCTGTAGTATAAACCTACATTTATGTATTATAATTTAAAATAGTAAGATGGAATAACAATTAACAATTATTATAATAGGTGCGTGCTATGCTGGTTTAAAACGTAGACTATTTTTAATCTAGACAATTTCAGACTTAAATGTATTAATTCAAAATTTCAATTTATATACCTATTGTTTCAACTGTATTGGTTGACTTAGTGGTTGTTCTAAAAAATAATATTTAGTATAATTTAATTAGGATATAGCAAGCATACATGGTATTAATGTAAATAATTATAATAAAGCCCTTAATAATTAATAATACGGGTATATCATTATTTTGTTGTGTGCATTTTACTTACACTTACATTATTACTTTGTTTTTGGGTGCTTTAGTATAAGTCCAGTTATTTTATTGACGAGGAATTAGATATTGGATATGTTGACGAGGCTACATTGTTATCGGATTAAATCAAATGACAAATCACTTTAAGAAGTGTCTAGTCTTAAATGGTTTTAATATTTATGTGTAAAAACAATCATTTATTTTTTCCACTATATTGGTTTAATAATAATATGAAATAGGGATATTTTAACAAAAATGTATCGATTATAATTTTTAAGTGCCTAATGAAGTAAATACAATATTTTTATTTTATTAGCATTTATTTTAAATTCTGGTATAATGTTAATAAAAAAGTATACCATAATAATTAAATCAACACTTAATGATATTAATGTCTTTAATTATCAACTTAAAAACCTTTTAATTAATAATACGTCATCATACAACGTAGTTATAATATGTTGTATCATTGTGAGTTAACTTTTGTCGTTAATTTAATTAACCTAAAATAATAAAGAAATACAGCTTCAATTTTTTTTTTTTCATAGAGAAAACATAAGTGCATAATTTATTGAAAAATATGAGATAATAATATTATTTTGTACATATAATCTAAAATGTGTACAATTTAAAAATAATATCCATTTTTTTTTTGTTTACAAAGCTTTTAATAGTATATACGATATATTATATTTATGAACAAATATTTATATATCTAACAATAGTACTCAACATTTCAAATTTTATTATTTTATAAAAATGTTGACATTTAAATTCAATCAATTGTTAAATAAAAATAATATATTAAGAAATCACGTTTTAAATAGTTATCATTAAAATATTTGATAAATCTATTAAAATTTTTTTCCGATAATATACATTTAAGAATTTTTTATGATATTTTGGAAAGAAAAGGTAGGATATATTTAAATTATATATGAGAGAAAATTTAAAATTAAATGTTAAATCCTAAAACCCAAAATAACACATTTTGTTAAAATAAATTAATTTTTAATTACATCAACGTAATCAAAATAGATTTTGTTGTATGGCTTCGACATAAATTGCTTTGCTTATATCATTAGTTTTTTTGATAGTTTTCTGAAAACTAGTAAACAATGTCAAAAAGTGTTATCGTAAGCACCTATTGTGTTTAATTTATAAATAAGAAAAAAATAATCTTTATATTCAAACTATATAAAATATTTAGAGTACGTACTTGTTTAATCCAAAAAATTAGTAACAAACAGAACTAAGATTATTGTAAACAATAAATTCGTTAATGATTTCTAGAATTTTATTTTGTGTTTTCTACAAAAGAGGTTTTTGTTGAATTGTTAAGAAAATAGACATCATACTTAATATACTTTATAAATATTATTTTTTTATCAATATTTTCCTCTTGGTTTAGAGAAATATCAATAACAGAATTTACAGAATACATTATTTCATTTAACATTGAATTTGTTACATAAATTATACTTTGCAATTTTTATTTTTAAACCGTAAAAACTAAAAAGTTTTCATTGTATTACCTGAAATATAATTCATTTTTGGCATAATATTTCTTATAAACAAGTTTACGAGGAAACGAACATACTGCTATAAATTATACGTCTTTTGCTTATAATATAATATTTATAATATTTATAAAAATATTTTAATAAAAAATATATTTACTTTTTTGTTTAAAAATTCATTTTTAGGTTATTGGAATATAATAAAATAAGTGAAGTAGAAAATTGGGCGTTCAATGGTTCTGAAATAGCAAAACTGTAAGTAATTGCAAACTATAAAATTATTATTTTTTTATTATTTTGAAAATAAGCTCAAATGTTTACATTAATTATTTTATTATTATAATCACCATCATAATTCATTAAATTTATTACAGAAGTTTGAGAGGAAATTATTTAGACTTTTTGTCTGAACACAGTTTTGATGGAATTTTGAACTTACGGACACTGTAAGTTTTTTAAAAAACATAAATTATCTGTGTAGATAAATTAGTAAAATTATCATCATATATTTTTTTTTTTTGATGGAAAAAAATTCTCAAGATTTAACCTTAAAGGCCTAAGATTATTCTTAGAATATCATTTTATTTTTTCCAATTTTTTTGAAAACTAAAATATGTTTTCAATATCTAGCCCTAATGCTTTGCTCATGTTGGGTGGAATGTTGTATTTTCTGAGTTCGTCGAAGTATAGATAGCACTCTATTATTATATGCTTTACTGTTAAAGTGACCCCACAGGCTGTACATTTAGTGGGCTCCTCTTTGGCCTGTGAGTCAGTCTTGTGTGACTTATTCGGAGACGGTTGATCAGGATATTTTTCTCTTCTGCTGAGATTCGGGTTATGCCAGTTTAGAAAACTAAAATATACTAATAAGTAATGGGTACTTTATTCCAGACGCTTTTAAAGTATCGTTTCTTTTAAATCTAAATTAATAGATAAGCTCTAAAAACATTAAATTTTTTTTACAAATCTAAAAATAAATCATTTTGAAATGTGCTCAGAATTTCATATAAACTTAATTTATTTTTGTTATTTATAAATGATCAATTAACTATTTATCTAAAACTACTTTTATCTGCACAATATGTAATATTTGTTGTTCTTTTATTTATTAAAATTGAAGCGTTCTTAATTCGTAATTAACATACATTTTTATAATTAGTATGATGTGTATTTTTAGAACTAATTATTATTTACACATTATTTATATATTTTTATTACATAAATATTTAATTGTTTCGTGCAATTTATTATAACTTATTGTCATTTGTGTTTAGAATTCGTGTTATAAATTATTGTATTTTAGAGATTTATCACATTCCTCAATGAAAGTATTACCAACATCGGGATTGAAAAGCTTAGAGGTACTTCGCATAGAAAATACTCCTTCAATGACAGTAATTCCATCAGTTTATTTATTTGGTGTATGTACCAACTATAATATTATTTTATACTTTTGGCTTCATGTTCATTTATATATGTCATATAATCAATAATAAATACATATTTTTTTTTGGTTTCAGAATTTAAAAGAAGCTTATCTCACTTATTCATTTCATTGTTGCAGTTTTCAGTTTCCAGCTAAACATGATTATTCATCTTATGAGTTTCATAAAGTAGGTGTTAATTTATTCCTCATACTGAAAAACGCATTTTGATTAAACGTTTTTAAAATAGACACCTACAAAAATCTTGTTGACAATATTTTCTAAATATTTTCGTTTATTACTGTTCAAACAAAATCATCTCTATTTATTTATATTTATTCAAACACAAAATTGTTTACATGAAGATACTTGAAACATTACTAATTACAAAACTAGGTAATATATTATATTATTATGCAATAGAATTTTGACAATACAAAATTAGTTCATTACCTACATGTTATTTTCAAAAAATATCATATATGATTATATAATAATATAATTTCATCGTATAATCTAGATTTTCGATATCAATTATACTTTGTAAATATTTGTAAATTAAACAGCCACTGCATTTCAGCAATTAATAATAGAAAAAAAAATCATCAAATTAATTACAATATAAATCTAATTCGTACGTTAAATGTTTGAAACGTGAATCTTTATGTATATGTCTATTTACTTGTCTATTCATTTGAGTGCCAAATGTATTTGTTGCAGTTTGAAGATAAACCTCTCATAATTTATTTATTTATTTATTTCAATTATTCTATTTCTTAGTAAAATATACGTTATATATTTTAGGAAGACTCACAATCTCCGAGTGAATGCGCACAAACGAAAAAAAATTACGACTTTCATGTGGTTTCCAGTGATTTTATTGAAAACGGTTATATAGACTATGCAAACGATAGCGAAGAAGAGTTTTTTAACGAGCCGGCCATAACAAATAGTACTCAGAACATTATATGCGGCAATATTACTCCACCTACCATGTAAGTAGCGCTGTAGTGTGTATAGTATTTTCATAGTTTATCTATTGAGTTACAGCTTAAACTCAAAATATGCGTGCTTTTGATATATATATATATATTATAATGTATATATATTTTTGTTGAACTGCAACATTTTTATATCAAATTTACGTCCTGAATATCAATGCACCATGAATTCAAATTACGATTTAATTGATGTGTTATTTACCAAGATTTAAGAACACATACGTTATTTATATAATTTGTATATCAAAATAGAACAATAAAATTAATACCTCTGCTATGCAGTTATAACACAGTACTTTTATACTAAGACAATCTTTAAATATTATTATTATAACCATGACGCTAATATTCCATTAAATTTTAATAATTTAAGACTGCTACAATTTTTTACGTAATAGCCATGTGATAAGAAATAAAAATTGGAAAATAATAGATTTATTATTTTATAGATTACATAGGTATTGACACTTGACAGGAGGTATGTAAGTGCGTATATTTAGACGTTGTAACCGATTTCAATAGTTGTTTTTATTATCCATGACATAATGTTATTTGCATTTTAAATTAAAGTTATTCATGCCTATTGTGGTTAAATTAAGTTAGGAAATAAATCCGAAATAAATCGTTCACGATAACCATCAAATTTAATTTGCGCATCATTCAATGAAAACTGTATTTTTAAATAATGATATAAATATATAGGTACTAAATATATATTTTCAAGCAAGTTCGAATTAAAGTTACAAATTTATTGTTTATAATAAGAACGTATATTTGATTACATCTAAGTATCTAAGTCATTCATAAAATAAATGATGAGCTTAATTTTTTTTCAATATTTAAGAATATAATAACGAAAAACACTCATTATATGAATCACACGAACTGTAATACAATTTTAATGTAACTTTTACTACGTGTAGACTTAATTGAACATATTAAATTGGACAAAAACTTAATTTTCGATACCGACTTCAAACTCTGATTATAGAGTTTTGTTCTGTTCCAGGAGATCTGATGTCAAATGTTGGCCACAACCAAACGCATTAAATCCTTGCGAAGATATAATGGGTTTCTATTGGCTTAGAGTGTGCGTTTGGCTAGTGGGAATCGCAGCATTACTGGCAAATGTAGTTGTACTGTTGGTGGCTTTCCGTAAAAAGTTTAATTACTCCGTGCCCAGATTTTTGATGAGCAATTTAGCTTTTGCCGACTTTTGTACTGCCATTTATTTGTTGCTATTAGCCTATGAGGATTTGGTGTCCAGTGAAAAATATTTCAACTACGCTTATTCATGGCAAAACGGTAATTATTGCATGTCAAATATTTCTTTATGTATAAGTAGACAGTGTGAATAATATTTTCGCCATTATGGTGGGATCTAAGTACTCATGCCGGATTATTGATATAATATATATTTTTATCTATGATATTATTTATGTAAATTAAGTATACAAGTCCCTAATTATCATATACGTTATATGAATATATTTATAGTTACGCGTAAATGGTAGGATAAACGCGGGATGATAGTCCTTTTGTTTGCATTTATGAAAAAATAATCTCTTCACGTGTTTTCAAATACTCCACTGTGTTCAATGGGCCACGAAGGAAAATGCTTTTAGTAATAAATTTGTTAGTGATTTTTTTTTTTTTTTTTTTTAACAGATTTTCAATAGTTCAATAGTTTTATAGATGTATACATATTACATAATATACGTTATTTTTAAAAGAGCTTATAAATAAAAATTCTGCATATTTTCTAATTTTTGACATTTTGTACTTTGAATAATATACTATCAATCTTATATAAAAATATCAAGTCATAATTTTAAAATTACAGATTAAATTTAAAAACAATATTTTCATACAGAGTTAGTCATTGTATCGTTTAATAATAGCATTATTCAAATATTTTATGGAATAATTAAAAATATTATTTTGTAGAGTAAAGTCATCTTAGGTGTAGATTCTAATTATTTTGCCTCCTTCCGACTGATACAATTGTCGTGTCTAATTGAAATATTTGGATTTTTCCATGATCGCACTAAAATATTTTCAACTAAAATTTTCGATACCAAATATAAAATTTAATTTTATAAATATTTCTTGTTATTATGTTAAACTCTAGATGTTTTGCAGTATGAATGTACAAACAACTTTGGAAAATAATATATGATTTAAAAAAAATACTTCATAATTGTTTATAATTTACGCCTAATTATTACAATAATAATCTGCCTGTTATTACAAACCGATTGAATAGTCTTATAGGAATTACGTTATGTTGCAGGGTTCGATGAATATATTATAGAAGAATAAATTATTATTTATGATATTAAATTATTCATGTAAAATTAATTACGTTTTTATTAAGTATTATTTATTCTAATTTTCATCAGCTATTTTACTATATTTTAGTTAACTTGTACCTAATAATAATTTGTAAAGTCACTATGCGCGTATACAGTAATAATGTGATCAGCGTATGATTATGCGTATATTTTTTTTATTGAAAGTCACATGTAACAATACACTAAATTTAGATATATGTGCTATAATTATAATTCATAATTCAACCCAATTAAAAAAAGTAATAACCTATTTTAATCAAAATGCTTTTGGGTCAATTACAATAAAATAAATCATTAAAGATATTATGTGTTCACATTGATAACCAACCATAGGTATAATATGTCTATATAAAATGGACCATCTTTAAATGTAATTTAGTATCATAACAATTATAATAATTGGTTTAATTTCACATATTATGTGATATATATATTATAAATACCTATTAAAATTTTAATTTTTTGAGTGATTTCAAGAGTTGTTATGTGTGATAAATAATACTATTATTATATGATTGGATTAAAAAACGTGTATAATTTAACGTGCTAATTAATTTAAATATTAATAATAGTTATAAATAATATCATCAAGAACGATTAAATATTTAATGAAAATAGAATTATTATTATATATGGTGTAATGTACACATAATATTATTGTGTATTTTTCATTGTAGATAATAATTATACATACCTATTTAGCTATACTAAATTATAAAGGTTATGATATTTTTACACAGGCGTTGGATGTAAAATCGGAGGTTTCTTGACGGTTTTTTCGTCTCAACTATCGGTTTTCGCGTTATGCTTGTTAACGCTTGAACGGTGGTACTCAATACGCAGGGCACTGTACACAAACAAAATGACGTTCGCTTCAACTGTGAGAATAATGGCTTTTGGTTGGGTGTATTCAATTGTAATGGCAACCATGCCGTTGTTGGGCATTTCAAGTTATTCTACTACCAGGTAAACACAAGGCGCTCTATCGAAATCGTGTATTAATAATTTTAAATAAATATATTATTATAGAGATTATAAGTAAGCAAATACGTTTGAGATTTCAAATAAAATAAAATACAAATCTTAGAGTACGGAGCAAAATGCCATTATTATTTAACTAAATCAATTGAGTTACAACACATAGTTTTAAAAATATTACCACAGCATTTACACGTATAGTTTTCTATTTATAAGTAAATGCAAACAGTTTTAGTAATGCTATACTTTTAAACATGCTAATATTCTATTACGATAAATTTTTGAAAGTAGTATATTAAATATCATATAACTGACAAAATGACCCAAAATATCTAAATTAAAATTGTAAATATTTAAAATCGGCTTATTTTCAATTTTCATAAGGATTATAATATCATAATTTATTCAAAATTAATTTTAGTTAGTTATTTTCAAAACGTGATTTGAATATGAAAATGATGTCTCATGTCAATGGATTTGACGTCAAAGGCAATTCAAGCGTTCATAATATATTGTTTGACATAATCTTAAAAGTTATTTCAGTTTACGTTACAATATATTGCACCTATACAATCTAAAGTATGTAATGATTTCATAATTGTGTCAAACATTTAGTATTTTTTAGATAATTTATGAGTAGGTATATGAAGACGTATTAAATAATGAACGAACCAGTAAACATTTTAGGTAACTTAATCTGATGTACCTTAGCCTTTAGGTACCTGATACAACCAATGATAACTATTAAATTTTTTTTCGTAATTAATATTTCCAAAATAATTGGTATGAAACAATAAAAAAAAAAAAAAAAAATTAAAATTATAACTATTAATAAAAAACGAAGGATGCGTTTTTATTTTTTATTTTTGTTGTTATTAAACGAAAAAATATGAATATGTATCCACTTTAAATGATATTAAGGTTAATATTATTTAAGTAAGATTCAAACCTTAATTGTGTACTGAACATTGATGTTTATAAATTAAAAATAATCAAATGTTTTAAAAAGGAACATTTTTCACATATTAACTATACGCCAATATTTTAAACGAGTTGCAGAAAAAAAATACCAAATAATTTATTAAATTTCATATTAAATATAATTTATCATATTATATTTATGTATAAATACTAAATAGCTATGAAATCTGTTTAATATTTTTATAGATAGACTAAACATAACTCTTTTAATGCCTACCGTAAAAATAATGTTTTCGTGGCATAAGTCATAAAAAAATATATTGCATATTTATAATAGTCATCAATATTGAACACGTAAGAGAAAATTATTAATTAAGTCTTTTATGATAATACATGGAGTTGAAATAAAAAAAAAAGAAAGAAACTATCGTGTTCAAAATATTGTTAGATAATAATTATTAGTTCTTAATCAAGCATTAAAAATATCAGTCAAAACGTTTTTTTATTGTAAAATACATATTTCATTTATAGGTACAATAAAAAACGTTGTAATGAACTGTATAATAGCTACATAAGTAATTTCCGATTCTATACCGATATTATAGTATGATAAATTAAAAAAAAAATCACTTTAAAAACCGAAGTGTTTATAAGTCCTCGTCCGCGAGTATGCAAATTACTGTGCAGTTATATACCTGTTAGTAATCTTAGAGTTTGTATCTCATCTAATATCTGAGTGTCAAATAAGAACCTATAATATTATTGCATTGTTAGAATTCAGATTTGTGCGAATAGTAGCTATAATAATAATATCATTTAAGTTTTCGTGAAATTATAACTGTTTAATTCATAAAATTTATTTGTAGGTATATGTAATAAACTCTAAGGCACTAGGCACTATATATAGTGTATACCAGCGTTTTTTAACCTAACCCCAAGGTTCTGTGGAGCTTAAGTAATTTTTTTCAAAATTTTCAAGAAATTTATTTTAAAATATCTAATTGAAGATTAGTAGCGGCTATTAGGAAAAAAAAAATGTTTCTACAACTTTCATCAATAAGCCCAATATTAAGAATATTTGTATTAATAAAAAGCAATTTTATCCATCTCATAAAATTAAAATTTAGTCTAATTAAAACTAGTATTTTAATATTTTATTATTTAAAACTTATTCATCTAACATTAGTATTTTATTATTATTAAACAATCTTAAAGCACAAATCTGTCATCGATCACACATGTAACAATAACAGTATTACAGTAACAACATCCACAACAATAACATTGCCAAATGCCAGTGTATCGTACATTGTAATAATAATGTATAAGGTATTTAAAACTAGACTGTACGAACGGTTAGCTGATAATATTACCGTGTCGAGTATCAATAAACTTATACAATATACGTGTAGTCGTGTAGAGATAGGCGCGCGCACGAGTGTATAACACTTTAATAGTAGGTACCTACATCGCATAAATAAATACTATGTACACATCTACTCGAAGGTATAAATACATAATATATATATAGGCACTCTGTAATAGTGTATTGTTTCTGATATTGATGGAATTTGTCGAGAGTGAATTCTGAGAGTTGATTGAAGGGGTTGTTGGAGTTTAAAGCGGGTTAGGATTGAAAATGGTTAGTTTTCCAGAGAAAACCACCATGGTGGTTAAAAATTTGCGGTCCAACCGAACGGTCTGTGGTGTAGCAAGTACTTGTGTATAACCTTATATATAAACGTATATAAACAATAATACAATGTTGTTATTACTGCTGTTGCAAAAGTATTAATTATCATATTGCTATAGATGCAACTATGCGAGAGGACTTATTGATTTTGCAAATATAGCATCAAATCCATCATATTCCTTGTTCTTCTGCAGGGTTACTGACTGTGGCGTATTTAAGTTTTTGTTATGGGGGGGGGGTATAACTTTATACGGCAATTACCAACTCGAAGGGAGCTATGCCCCCCTCACTTTCTTAAATTTCCAGGAATTATAATAGCTTTTTATAATAAATTAGTAGCTATTAAATATAATATGTTCTATGTTTAAATATATTGCCAAAATTATAATATATGTTACACATTACTTGAGATTAAATGTTTTATTGATACAAAATCGAATGCTTAAATAAATGTGAATAATATGATGACTATAATTATTTGTGTGTGTACAGTCTATGAGGGAGTATTTATCCCCTTGACTCCCCTCCCCCGTAAATAAGCCACTGGTTACTAAAGTACAAGTAGTTTTATAAATAATTTATATCTATTCAGTTACCTACCGTATTTTTAGTCATGTCAGTTTCTTCTAATTTTATTATTTAATCAAAATTCAAGTGTTCAGTCTGAATAATTTTAGATATGCACTAATTGAATAATGTATAGTTATAATTTTATACTGTTGCTCTTTGTGATGGAATCAATGTATATTTTGGTTTATCCTCTAATGTCCTATATAGCTTTTCTTTACTCAGTTGTATATTATTTGTCTATCAATCATTTTTTCATAACACTTTTCATGATTATGATCACTAAAATTTTTCAAAATTACATTATTGTGAGTTAAGTGAAAAAACACTTACACAGAGCGACGGGAACAACAAATTCACCGAAATTGAAGTTAAATTTAATGCCATTTTTATAAAAATTGATTTTGTTTTCCATTCAACATAATATTATACTCCTTGATTTTACTTTCGCATCTGTGTGTACAGTGATCATGTATTTAACACAACTGTTACGTACATGCCACCGAGCTTATATTTATCAGCCGGTATCCACTCCGTAGTACGACCATTGACCGGCATTGACGAAAATACCTTACCGAAAAATATTGAAAGCTGTGTTCAAGGTCGTTATCAACCAATAACATTACAAAAATTCAAATATTTTATCTACGGGCCAATTCAAGATATTACAGAAAATAAACATTATGTTTTTTATAGCCTAAAATATATCTGTGTATATGGGTAATATGGGTGAGGGGAGATAGATGCAGTCCTCTTTGAAATGCTAGGAAAATTTAAAAATATTTTTGTGTATCATATTCTTTAAACATATCACGATTAGGTACATCGTATTTAATTATATATATTAAAAATATGATTTGTATGAAATTTGCTGTGAAAGATTAAAATATTATGTAGGTACTCAAAGTATAATCGGATATAAATTATGAGGGATCATAGTTAAACCTCCTCATTACAGCAAATTATTAACTCTCTCCCTCCTAAAAAATCAAAAAAAATCCTAGTTACACCGTTGTTTGATGCACAATTTAAAGCTAAATTATTGTAGGTATAGGGGTAGACCTGGACATGTGATAATCACAAATGTGCGTATAAAAAAAAATTCATTACCATGTACTCAGATAAACTATTTTCAATAAAACGTTGACGGTTTGGGTTCAAAATATTTTTGTACATAGAAAATGATCTTCCTACGTCCATCGAAGTTATTTGGGTGTATTTTATACATTAGGTAATAATTATCTAAATTATGATTACTGCTTATTGAATCGTCTTCACTTGTTGTTTCTCCATTCTAATTGTTAATCCATTCTAAATAATTTTAAACATAACATCAACAATGCACTGTCTTCATAGCTCATAATATATTTGTACCGTAGGCAAAATAAAAACAAAAATGCATTTATAAGTTAAAAAAAAGGAAAAAAACAAAAAAGGCAAAAATAAAATACATCCACTGTGTTAGATATTAAATGAAACACATTTTTATTTAAAAACTATTTTTCTATTATAAATATTAGAAAAAAAAAATTTCCTTTAAATCTGAACCCTAATTATAACGAATTTTTCCGAAATTTTTGTTTAAAATGACTGTGTATTCTAAATATTTTTAAATAGCTATAATAAAAATTTATAAAGATCCTATTGTTATCATATTTTCAAGATTTTTGATTCAGCGAAAAAATTTAAATCAACACATTGTACCTTTGAAAAAAATTTCATATTTCAAGTATCTATTAATAACTCTGTAACAGAGTCGTAATTATACCGTGTGTATAAAATGATAATTTAAAACATTCAATGAAAATTTTAAGTATCTGCCCGGTCATTTGTTTTTTAGTTACAGCAAAAAACAAAAGTGATTTTTTTTTTTAACATCTTTTTTGTCTAGCAATAAAATACGAAGTTTTTCAAAATAAACACACACACGCAAATCATTACATCGATTCGCTTGAAATCTCTTAAGTGCCTTACGATGGTTGATTATTTGCTAGGGTGAATTTTTTCGTCTCCATCATATTACCTACACGCATATTATAATCATATTATTATCGTACCTGTACATCATATATTATACAGGTATATACGTATGATATACCAACTACGGTATACCATAATGTTTAAATGTACCGATACGTAAGACAAATTAAATCGTCATCGACATAATACTATTGTATAGGTACACAGTTTGTTGTCGTCGTTTGTAATATCTACATTATGTGTTTTTCCCGTGCACAGCATCTGCCTGCCGATGGACACCGCGCGCCCGAGCGGCATGTGCTACGTATTCACTCTGTTGTCGTTCGCTGCGGCCGCGTTCCTGCTGATGCTGTTTTGTTACGTGCAGATCTACATGTCCCTGAGCTACGAGACCCGACACGCGGCCAAGGGCGAAGCGTCCGTGGCCCGCAAGATATCCGTGTTGATCGGCACGAACTTCGCGTGCACCGCCCCCGTCATCTTCTTCGGCTTCACCGCACTTCTAGGCTATCCGCTCATCGACGTCACCAAGTCTAAAATACTGCTCGTCTTCTTCTACCCCATCAACTCCTGCGCCAACCCATTCCTCTACACCATACTCACGGCCAGTTTCAGACGCGAAGCCTTCTCCACCGTCACCAAGTGAGTTCGACTAACGTCACGATATTATTTTTATTATTATTATTATTATTATTGCGTACACGTCCCTTGCACTGCAGTATACGGATGTAACTTAAACGTTATTATTAGGGCTGGGATTTTAATGTAATAAAAAAATCTCAAAAAATGCTGCTGAAAAAAAAAATACTTATTTGATGTTTTTCTGTTTTTTCTTAATCATTAGCAAAAAGACCTATGATCAAATATTTGTCGTTCTGTAGGCATAATTTATTATTTGTACTTCCAGTAGTTCGTTAAAAATGTCTTGTTTATCGCGACAATCTTTGTTCATTTTATAAACAAATTGTGAAAAATACTCTGAAAAATAAGAAATGCCCTAAAATCATTAAAAAATGCATTTAAGATTGATTTAGTCAAAAGATGCAAAAAAAAAAATAAATACTTTAAAATAATCAGTATCACTGAAAACACATTTTATACTTATGAACCAACGTTTCGAAACACCAGAAAAAAGATACCTTTGCATCAAAATCCCAGCCATAATTATTACTAACTATTTTAATACGCATTGGACTATATGTACCGTCCAAAACGAATTCCGGTTCTAAGTGCTTAAACGTTTCTTATTTTTTAGTTATTATACGTTTACAACCAAATAAAACGCAACAATATATTTTGATTCGATTTGATTATCACACAACCTGTTATAATTATAAGTTATAATACAATTTTTTAACGTCATATGCGTCACTTCCCCTCTTGATTGCATGAACGACTCAATTAGCATTTCATAATACCTACGAGCATATTTATTCGTTGTAGTTTATAATTGTTACACTGTGACCACGTGATCGATGAAATTAGTCACCTGATCGTCATTTATTAGCTTTGAATAACCCTGTATTTACGCGCATATGCATAAATAATATGTACTCGTTGGTAGACCACCAAGTAGTATTTGAAATATTTGTTAAAAATATACTATCTACTAAATTAACGCGGTTACGTACTACAATATACAAAGTAATATTTTAACGTTAGCTGAATTAGCTATGATTTAAAATATTTACCAAACAATACACATGAAACAAAAACGAGTTTAAAAGTATTTGGATTATGTTTGTAGTATTTTAAATAGTTTATTTTGAATGTTATATTTATAAAATATTCCAATATATATTCTGACTACTGTGTTTCATAAATATTTTGGTATTTATTCCAAATGATTTTCAAAAGTATTTTACCATTTTTACACTGCAGTTATGTCTATATTTAGTAATTATTAAGGGTGTTTTCCAGAAAAAAAACAAATAACGAATGAACTAATTATTAACATAATTTATACATAATCAATTATTTTAACTTTAAATGACCCAGATCGTAGCCCGTAGTTAAAGTATTTTTATATTTATGGGATTCCGTTTAAACAGTGTTGTTGACATTTTTAGAAAAATTAAAATTTTAAATATTCAATAATATAATTTTAAAAAATACTACTCATTTAAGGTTATTTATAAGTGGCTTCATGTCAATACTATTTTTAGCTGTTACGTAATCATAAATTTCTCTAAAGAAAATTAGTTTTTCAATAAAAAGACTGCTCAAATAAAGAAGTAGTTAAGAAACCAAATTTATACATGATAATATATTATAGATAACAAAATTTATTGTAATATTGCAGTGTGTGTGTGTGTTTTTTTTTATATTACAAAAATAATTTTTATTTAAGTTTAAAAACATAAAAAAATAATAATTTAAAAAATGCAATTTTATATACCAACTCCTAAAGAAAAAAAATTACGGATAAAAATATTTTTTTAAATATTATTTTTAAATAATTAAAAATATACTAACAAATATGTAAGATGCAAATTGATGTTCACGCCATGTAGACTATATTAATCAACGCTCAATCGTCAATACCAAACATGGAAATGTTTGATGAATTTTAAAATAAGGTAGTTAAATTCTGTTTAACAATAATATTGGTCATACACATATCTACGCCCTATCTAAATGACGCTTCATCTTATTTATTATATTATAGGTTATTTTCTCAATCGCTATTGACCTCCCGTTTTGTACGATGTACCAACCCTTGTATTCTCACATTTTCTGAGCCATATTTGAGATATTCAAGTAAAATTAAAACAAATTATTGTCACACAATCTACCATCCCTAAAGAAGTTCAATTTCCTCCATCTGATAACTCTGTATAATTGCTTACCTATGTATAATATTATTCTTTAATAATTTATTACATTCATAGAACTTAGGTATCTTATAAAATAATAAGATAATTCTTAAAATACTTTTTAACTTATCAATATGATACATACATACATTCATACATACGAGATAAAATTTTCAATTTAAAAGAACTAAGATGCGAATGATAGTTAATAAAATATTTTTTTTCTGCTGAAAACAGCAGTGCAATTTTTTGTACTATCATAAAATACGGTCCTGCAGAATGCTGTGTTTGGGGATTTGTAAATATAAAGCCAAAAAAACAAAATTATAAAAACTAATATGAACAATATATCGTGTAATAATATAGTCGTTAATCCATTATTATTTCGCTTTATTATTTGTCGTCTTTTCCGAGAGCGGACAATGCATACGAAACTTATTTTATTACTTACTCGCGATAGCCGATAGCGTCAAGAACATTTAATTGTGTACGGTCTTCGAACGTCGGAATGGAAATTTTTCTTTCAGTGCGTTATGATGAAAGTAGTGTATTTACGTTGCGAATAATATTTTTGTCACCCTGGATAATACAGCGTATAAAATATATACGATTGAATACTATATATAATCGAAATTATCCCAATATCAGTTGTTGGGTATTTTATTTCATCGTACTCAAACCATCAGTTTTGTTGCGAAAAAAAAACTCACCAAACTTGCAGGACCCTAATACACATAGGTAAACATATTATGTTATACGTTTATTTATAGAAATTCGCATTTAAATATAATATATTCAAGTTGTATATTCGTGGATATATTATATATACTCATCGTATTTATATTTGCGTAACTTTTGTCCGCCATAGCCCACAGCCCTGTCAATCCCAAAAAGAAAATAATAAATTTTTATTATGTATATATACGTATATATATATAATAAATACCCAGAGAATCCCGTAAGACGAATGGTCGTCAATCGTCTTGTCGCAATCCCACACCTGTATCCCTTGCATGCGAGCACACTAAATCAATGGCTCTTCCCTCGGGTGGTATACGTAGTAAAATTTGTTGTCTGTAAATAAACTATAAATTCAGGGTTTGGATGGTTTGCAATAATTCTGTCGTTGAAAAAAAAATCAGTGCGTGTGTGTAATAAAGAATAATAAAATATTCAAATTGATTTTTCGCTTTCAAAGCACGAGTATAATATTATTTCATAACAGTTCAATTGCCAAAAATAACTCGACGGTAAGAAAACGTAAGAATTATTGAACCGCCGCCGTCTATTGCTCTACAGCCTTGAAGTGAAAATGTAAAATCTCTACCTCACCTACGTATTTCGTATGAAAAGTCTTTTGAACAAAGTATCGGCGGGGCGTATATAATATTTCTAGCAGAATTTTATACTGAGGACGCGTAACTATTATTGCTCAATCGAATTCTGACCTCTGTTCGTAGGCCAATAATTTGTGTTAAAGAACATAGTCTCGTTAGTGACTCTAATGCAGGGAATATAATTTTATTGAAAACAGCAATAGAGCGTTTAAGATAAGAAATTAAATTTTCTGAAAACTGAAAAGTCATAGTTGCTTAACAAGAGGTTCTTCACTCGGTGAATCATATTACTTTTTATTCATACACGCATTATGCCAACACATTCGTTTTTGTTTGAAATATTCATAAATAGAAGGCACATTAAAAATAAATTCTAAAATTAAAATCTTAATAACTTTCATAATTCAACTATAAAAATATAAAATATTATGTTAAGAAAACCATCAAGTTTATAGTTTATTATATTTATTTGATTAGAAAAATATAGGCAATCTTGTTGTGTTCAATATGAGTAAATGAGTCGCAATAAAATAACGAACATTTGAAAGGCCTGCACGTAACTTGTTTTTTTTTTTTTTGTTCAAAAAGGTGCCATATAGATATATAGAAAAAAAATCATCACGCCTTATTGTAGAACGATCCGATTTTGAACTTTGGTTTTCAAAATTCTATTAGTAAACAAAATAATTTGATTATGAATATGACTAATTTTCACAATTTTAAATTCTAAGCGGAGCAATTAATATATTTATTCTACAATGATTTTGTGTTGCTGTGTGTGAATGAACACAAGATACGTTGACAATAAAATACTTCGATTTTTAACTTTTGGGTGGTATTGTATAGATAATTAGATCTTGTTTGAATTTAAAAAGCATCATAATTAAAAATGCTTAAACTTTTTCATAATCAGGAAAAATAAACAAAAATTAAGGGGAAACGGGAATTTTTACGCCAAACCAGTATTTGACTAAATTGATTTCTTTATTTTGCTTTAATTCAAAAATAATTAATCACAGAAACTCAAAATTTTTACTACGTATTTATACTATTTTTTTTTTTATGTATGGTATAATTTTCAAAATATTTTAACAGTTTCAGGCATGCCAAATTTTTAATTGAATTTAGTTTTTTTTTTATAAATATCGATAAAAAATTATTTGTTGGATCTAAAATTTTGAAATTTTAATAGAAGGTTCTATATAAGTGGGTCTTATATATATAAAAAATTATTACATTTTTATAAAATGTTTATATAAATATATTTGGAGTTGAAATTTTAATGAAATTCGTCAAAATAACAAACAACTGCAAACTATTTTATAGTTAAAATTCATAAAGTTTTTTCATTTTATTTTTAAGTTTTGAAAATTTAAATTTAATACATTTCTCATAAATAGTTCATGTTGAAACCATAAAATTTAAAGAATATAAAAATATAATTATTTTATATAAACATTTTAAATTAAAATTGGACTAAATTCCTTAT